AGAGAGAGAGAGAGAGAGAGAGAGAGAGAGAGAGAGAGAGAGGGAGAGAGAGACTAGGTCGTCCTTTTGGTGTTGCGAGGCGGTATCAGAGACTGTTAGCCTTGTTGGACCGCAAAAGGTTGAAACGAAGGAGGGGGGGAGGCGCGTGGGGGGCGCCTTACCTTAGCCTTAGCCTTGCACTAGACCTCCCTACTATAGCGATCAACGGGCCTCCCTGCAATCAAACCGACCCAACTCGTTGCAACCAGGTGGTGGACATTCTGGAGTACGTGACGCTGGGGGACATCACGACGTCGACCCAGATCTACTACGACCCGGACCCTCGATCTACGGTGGTGGACGAGGACGTGGAGCTGCTGGAGGGGCACTTCGACATCCAGGAGGAGGAAGAAGACGACAAGGATACCGACAGGTACTGTTGAAGGCGTTCAACTGTAGTAGCTAGTTTAGCGCCTCATGTTGTACGCGTGTGTATTCGTTTGTGCGTGTAGCTAATTTAGCGCGCCTAGGTGCTGCTGTCTGTTGCGTTGCACATTCCGCCGTTTGTGTGGGGCTCGATGTGTGGCTTGTGGAGGTTCTGCTCCGTTGCGTGCGAGTTGCCTTTAGTTTCGATGATGGTGCGTGTTTCGTTTGGAGGCGGGGCGATCAGACCGGAACACAACGCACATGGCTATTTTGGCCCCCTTGTGTGAGTAAGAGCGGCGATGGGTACGTACCATGGGTGTGGCATCCCTTGTTTCGTGGAACTTCGGTACAGGAGTAGCGTGACAAACCAAGCCGTAGGTGGTATCGAAGGTTTCTCAACAGCAATTGCACGTGTCCTTAGCAAACGTCCCTCGTGCTTTCTGTTTCTTTGTTCTCTCCATAACACGATGCATCTGTATCCGCAGATATGAGTCCAGGATAAATGACCAATGAAGCCATAGTCTTGGCAGCAGCACTACATGTGTTTCCCCCGGCAGCACACGGCAATGTGAAATGTAATCGTAGACCAATATGTGTTATTCCTTGTTTTTTCCCTTGTGTGTCGTCGTGTGCTGGCTCTCGCGCCTGCCATCAGAGCGAGGCCGTGGCTGCTCCGCATGGAGCTCAACCGCGAGGCTGTGTTCGACAAGCGTCTGGACGTCGTGGAGATCGCCAAGAGGGTTGTCGCTTACTTCGACGGGGGGCTGCACGTCATCCGAAGCGACCAGAACTCGGAGAAGCTGGTGAGAAGACCGTGCCCTGTTCTTTTGGTATTGGTTTGTTGTTCGAAAATCGACCGTGCTGTTGGTGTCTCCGCATCACAAAACGTTCTCATCTCTCTACCCGGTACCTTCATCTGTCGGTAATGGTTCAGCACTTGACGTTGTCGATTTTCGTGGTCAAGGACCCACGTCTACGTACAGAGCAGTTTCTTGTTGTCCAAGCCCCTCCCACAGTCACGTCTATCCGGCTTTTGGGTTTGTTGTTTTGTCGTGTCTCGGGCGTTACAGATGATGAGTGGTCGAACGAATCGATCGCACGGTGTCGTTCATTAGAGCTTGGTTTGCTTTGTCTTGTGTCTGAGGCGCCACCGATGATGACTGCTAGAATGAATCGATCGCCCAATCGGTTATTAAAGCTGTGTATGCTTTGTTGTGCTGCAGATGATCGAGTTCCACGACTTGAGTTGATCGACTGCCATATTTATGTCAGTTATTAACGCCGCGTGTTTGTCTCGTGTCTCAGGTGTTGCGGATACGCGTCCTGGACGATGTGCCCGACAAGACCGAGGCGGAGCCGGAGGCGGAGGACACTGCGGAGGCGGACGATGTTGCGATGCTCAAGCACCTCGAGAAGAACCTCCTCCGACTACAGCTGTCCGGTATCGCTGGTATCTCGAAGGTGGGCCGATGCTGTCGCTGCTGTTGGTGTCGTTGTTGTTGCTGCTGCTGGTGCTGCTGGTGCTCCTATTGTCGTTGTTGTTGTTGTTGTTGCTGGTGCTATTGCCGTTGCTGCTGCTGCTATTGCCGTTGCTTTTGTTTTGTTGAATTAGCAGTAATGGGATATCTACCAAAAGCCTCGAAATTCAGCGTTGAGGCCCTCCGACGGGTCATAGAGACGACTAAGAACACGCAACGGGTGCATTGGTGACCTCCCCCCCCCCCAAAAAAAAAAAAAAAAAAAAAAACACCCCCCCCCCCCCCC